GCGCCGCCCAGAAGAGCTGGGCGCTGAGGAAGGCGGGGCACGCAGCAGCCTCCCGCCTCCCCGCGCTTGGGCTGTTGGAGGCCGCAGCGTTGCTAGGATTGCATCAGTTTTCCTGTTTGCACTATTTCTTTTTGTAACCGTGGCCCTTCCTTAAGTATTTCGAACCTCCTCCTTGTTCTGAAACTTCGGCGATTCCATTGTGATAAGCGCACAAACAGCACTGTCTGTGGGTAATCGGTACTACTTTGTTATTAATTATTTTCTGTTCCACAGTATAGTTGTCCTGTGGCACTCTGCCCATGCCTTTCTGGCCACCCTGTCCCCATCCCAGTGAGTGTAAGTTGGCACTGTGCCAGCTTGTATGAAGCTTGCCATTCAGCCAGTGGAAATAATATTATTATGAGAAAGTGGACTTGTCTGAAATGGAACCAACTGATGTTCTATCAGTGTTGTATATAGAATGATGAAGAGTTCCACTGTTGTTATATGTCTTAAATTTATTTAAAACTTTTTTAATCCAGATGTAGACTATATTCTAAAAATAAAAAGCCAAATGTGTTAATGAAACTCCACAAAAGTTTGTTGCTCTTTAATCCCTCAATGAATGACTTAGTAGTTAAATAAAAATAAATTATTTTTTTAGCAAATTTTATTTTCCTTCTGATATTTCAAGATAATGGATAATCATCTCTGTAAGTATTCAGATTTGTGTGGGAAGCAGCTCTGGACAAAATTTACTTCCAAACTTTTTATTTCTAATTCAGTACAAGGTAGGCCCATGCACCTCAACAAAAAGTTCACAAGTATTCAAAGTATTTAGAAAGGTACATATATGGGACTTTCTAACAAAGTTGACCAGCTTATTGGAGTACTTAATTAACCTTCTGATATTTTTAAGAACCTCAAGCACAAACAAATGTTTTGAAGCATAAAAACTTACCTTAAGGTGGAAATCTCTCTTGAGTACTAAGTAGTGAAAAATTACAAAAGAAACACCAGGTAACTTAGTGCATACACGTTGCAAGTCTTTATTTACAAATGTTTTATGTTGGTCTTAAGAGTTACTTAAATGTGTGATAACACGTGCTCTGGTCTCTCAGTAGTTTCCAGGGAAGTGCTAAGGTTTGTTAGGCAGTGTGCGCAATGCTTCTGGTTTTTCAGTGAGCGGTATGCAATCCTGGATAGCTGATCTGGTCAAGGCTGCAGTAGGGCTCTTGGGAAGGGAACACTTAGATGCCATTATGATGCATTCCCCTGATGGTGGGATGGGTGAAATACATTGCTCTGTGTTTTCTTTATTTCATTATTTGTTTAGGGGAAATACGCGTTAGATCACTTCAGTTTTCAAACTAGAAATCATGAGACATCTCTAAGCTTATAGAGCTTGAAATTAATATACATATAATGTTGCAGTCTTTTTTAAAGCAAATGTTTGTCTGGTATGGGCAATTCAAGTGTATTACCAGCTTTTAGCAGCAGTGAAAAAAATGGGAAAGTGTCAAGACAAGGTTCTTGCTGTTGCCAGAGAAAATCAATTGTTAAATATAAAGATAAGCTGGGCAGCACCAAAAGTAATATATAGAGCTTATTGCTTTGTATTCCTTTTAAAACATCAAAGTGCAAGCCAAAAAAAAAATACAAAGAAAGGAAATTACAGAAGCCACCAAGAAAGGAACTTGAAGACTTTGGAACCAGAAAGTGTGTGCTCAGATCCTCTTGTTCCTATTTCATAATTACAAGTATTTTAGCATCTAAGCTTGTTGCTGCATTTGAAATTAGGTATAACAATAATTATAATGCTTACTTCATGGAATTACAATGAGAATTAAATTAGATGATATATAGTCTGTCAAAGATTTATGGAATTCAAAGTTTCTTTGAGAACTACTCAAAGGTTTTACACGTTTCTTTCTTCCTCTATCTTAATGTTGGCTCATGTCTCCATTGACCCCCTTGACTTCTCCAGGGATATATGAAGCATGGTACAATATGTCCATTTTAGGGAAAAGTAAATTTCAATTACAGACATGAAACAACAGGTAAACTATTTCTTTTCTCAAAGTCTCAACGGAGAGCCTGAATTAAAACAAAAAGTCAAAGTTTGGGCAACAGAGGATTCGTCAGTCTATGTTGTTCTCTATATTCCACAAATGAGTGAGATCATGTGGTATTCATTTTTCTCTGACTGGCTAATTTCTCTTAGCATAATGCTCTCCAGTTCCATCCATGCTGGGCAACAGAGGAATTTTATGAGATGCTAACTGCAAGCAGTTTTCAGAATATCCCTGTGGTATATAGAATACAGTAAAGTACATGTTGATAGCAAAACTAAACTACAAATAGTTATCAATGTTAACTTTATTGCTGAAAAAGTCACACTATGTAAGAGTACTTTTATATATAAATACTGATTTTATTCTAACCAGAAGTAATGATGGTCACTGTTTAAAAGGATTGGATTTCTTTTATGAACCAATGAGGTTTTCCTGGCCCAATAAGCTATTCCACTGATAGTGAAACAAAACTGGAAAAATCCCCAACAGATTCACCTGTTAGAATCTTTCAAGCAATTTAAAATTTTGCTTGACATCTGAGGTAAAGTGATAAGGGACTTTATATTTTCAGAAGGTCTTTTCTGGGGGAGATCAAAGTACCTTATAGATTAAAAAGGTACAAACAGGAACAAAATAGGTCCAGAGGCATGGATGCCTGGAACAGACCCACAGACCTCAGAGGGGAGTGGTGGTGGGGGGGGGGGCAGGAAGAGATTAACCAAAGAATTTATATGCATATATGCATAGCCCAGGGATGCAGATGGTAAGTGTGGGGAAGGCCTGGGGTTGAGCGGGGCTGGGTGGAGGGAAGGAAGTTGGGGGGGCAGGGAGGATGGGGGACATCTGTAATACTGTCAAAAATAAAAATAAACTTAAAAAAAGTTACAAACATTGTGCGGCACCTCCCTAAAGAGCTATCAGAGATCCCCCTCATCTGACAGTGCACATCCCAGAGGCAGTTTGTGACTAAAGAGAAGGCACAGATAGATGAACTAGGCAAAAATTAACAGCTTAGAATGCATATGATTGCCACAGAGATATTTACATTTGATAAGAATTTTCTACATAAAAATCTCACACCAAAGCCTCTGAAAAGGTCTGTTTTGGCCCCTAAAATAGCTTTCTGCTTCTGCTTTGCTCACATTGGCTTTTTCATGTTTTACTCTTTCTCTGAACCTGAACCTAATTGTTAAAGAGCACCTCATGGCAGCTGGGATTATTCTTCTTTGGATCAACTTGAAAACTACTTTAGTTAGTTTTTAAAACATTTTTCTTTTAAAAAATGAAAGTTATTGTCAGTTCATATGCTTCATCATTTCGCCTTATTTTTAGTTG